AAGAATTCAAATGAGTATTAAAAAAATATTATTATACATTCTTTAACATCAAAAGGAGATCAAAATAAACATACGAATTTAATTCACACGCGCTTTTAACAAAAAACATACAGTCCATTTGATATTGGTTGACACTGATGACATTCAGTTTACTTTTTTATTGCTGTCAAATGTTCTTCATAAAAAATATCTTTGATATAAATAAATACAGTAAACGTGATAACCACTTAAGTATAAACAGTCCTGGCTTTACAAATGAGGAGCTCTGTAATAAGTCAGGTAATCTAAATGGTACCCGATAGTTGAGCTGACAGAAGTTTCGCAAGAATATTTTTGCTAGGGACCAGAAAGCTCCATTTCCAAAATTTAGAGCTGTCCCTAGGTTTGATGGATTCGCTTTTGCTGCCTTTCCCTCTACTAAATATTTTAACTACTGAACCGAATGAATAAACGTCACGCCCTTTAAAGTTTCATATTTCAATATATTTATTTAACGAGTTTTTGGTTTCTAAGTTACAAGTAATATTGTCTCAATTCTTCACTATTTCATGTACAAAAGGAATGATTTTCTTTCAGTCAGTTCTAGATTGATGGCGACGGAATTTCAAGACATTTTAACTTTTAAGGTTTTGTTATCACTGGCGACTATGTGACTTTAGAAATACGCTAAACTAAATCTCAATGTCACTCCATATGTTCCAATTTGATGTTATACTAAATTCAAAACGTATTTTCACATATAGAAGTCATTTTTATATTGCACTTGCCATTTGTAATTTCATGAATATTTTGAAGAGGTCGGTGTATAACCTTAATTTAAAATTATGAATCATAAGGTTCAAATATGAAAACGCAATTCTATTTCAAAAACCAAATTTATTTGAAAGCAAACAACAAAACAGACAAAAATCTCAAGATTTTTACTTGAAAAGATTTAATCAAATAAAACTAGACGAATGACATTAAGAAACGGAATTTATGTTTTAAGGAACTTATTCATTAAAATAATTATTTAGTGTCCGCTACTCTTTATACATCAACTCCTTATAATTTACAGCATCTTTTACAATATTATTTTATTATTATGTACTTTACTTCACTTCCAAAAATTTAAAAATAATCAGAGAATTATATTCGTAACTAAGATTTTTACATAAATAAATAGAACTGTTCAACAATAGATTTTAATTTAGAAATCAAAGTGTTAAATTGATATAGAAAAGCATATTATTAAAGACTGAACTAATCAACAAAAAACATATTTCTAAAGAGTTTTACAAATTCACAGAATTACAATTAATACCTAAAAAATATGTGAAAACAGAAGTTCTAAGAGGTAAGCTAGATGTATATAATGTGAGAAGACTATCAAATACAACATGTTTACAAAATTTTTCACTTTTTATTGTTCATACTTTAAATTATGCAATGAAGTTCCAAATATATGATGTAGATGGCGTTGATAATAATTTCAGATTAACATCATTTACAAGAATAAACTATTTTACTAAAATATTAAAAATGTCGAAATTACTAATACGAAAGAAAATATACTAGAAAACAAAAAGAGTATGAAGAAAAATTTTGATATCTTATAAATAACACCAAAACAAAAACAACATATTCTAAGTATGAATAAATTAAAAAAATATTTGGTAAACTTTTGTACATATTACAATAGAAACTGATTATTATCCTACCGAGTCATTATAATAATATTAATAATTATAAGAGAGGCTAATATACAGATAATACTAACGTTACAGGTCTAATAAATTAACGTTAGGAACACTAACACATCTCCCCGCTATAAACAACTTGAACTGAATACATACCGAGTATAAACATATCTTCATTGATACTAAAACAATAGTTTGTGCCAATTATATAATATTACATATAAAGAAAGACATGTATATTAACAATCACAGTAGAACATTATATTCACCTACAGAATAACATGTACATTGATGTTGTATTTTATTATTATATATATAATTCTTTTCACATATAATATAAAACATATTCATATAATGTTTCATTTAATACTATATATTGTTAATGTCTATTGGTTACAGTAGCAGTACATGTTGAGGTGTGGGTGGGTGGCGCTTATACAGCTCGGCTCGTTGTTGTAACTGTAATACATATAATATATTATTAGTATATTATCTTGTATTATATATATAAAGCTGATAGCGCCGATATATATATATATATATATATATATATATATATATAATGACGTATGCATTGTGAAAATAATTTGAGGCTGTCATCAATTCTTATTAAAACTCATTAGTTTATGTATTGCACCCAGTATAGACAAATAGATTTTAATAATTCTGTTACTTACGCGTTAGTCCTTGATATGTCTCTTGAATTTATCTCAAATCTGTTTTCGTTGATAACATAAGTCACTAATGCTTCGTATTTACCGACACCAGGTCCTACTGCGATCTGAAATTATAAACATAGAACTTTCAGTCATTTAGTCTTCAACCACCAATGATTATCACTAGGTATAACTTAAATCATCTAATAAACTGTATATGAATATATGGACAGTAGATTCAATTAAACTTTATTGAAAATATTTCTACGTTTATTTATTTATGTCGATGATTGAGATAATTGATAACAGTATAGTCTTCTTCACAATGAGCAGTACATTCGCAACAAATAAAACTTAGAACCTTAATAAATTTCTAAAATTATTTCATTGCTAACTGTCAATATCCAGATTTTTTTCAAACGGTACTTGGAATCAACCATCACTAAACAACACCTAAGATATACATAAATGTTCGAAAATTTATTTAAGATTTAATTAAAAAAAGATAAATAATAAGCTTCTTTAATTGAAGCAATAAATTTTTATTACTGTAATGCTTTTTTCTTAATTATTACAAGTGATCACAAAAACATTAAAATTGTTGGCATTTTGTTTTTCTTACATAATATTAACTTAAAAAAATAATAATTTTCAAAATCTTAGGCTGTAATGAGATCTAAGATTTTCGCGAGTACTCATTTAAATTGTTTCTCAAACTAAACTATCGTGTTAACTAAAGTTGATCAATGATATTATAATGTGCTGACCGGTTCTAGTAGACTGAGTCCCCTGTTCAGATCGGCTCCTTTAACTCTGTATGTGTTAGTGAACTGCGTCAGGTCCAGTACATCTAACACCGTAGCGTATATGTCGTGAGGTGTCGTCAATACTTCCACGTTCTCCTTCAGATTCTTCTCCGCCTCTGTTCTCCTCTTCTTCAGTTTTTCTGGAAGTCTGATCGCCATGAGAGGTAATCTCTCTTCCAGTTTCCCTTGGAGAGTATCTCGAACGTTTGCGTACCTTATTTTATGGTAAAAACATTGTGTGACAAGCTTATTTATTGATAATTCTTGAGGATCTCTTTAACGAGTCAAGTTTTAATTCATTTTTAGGTTTATCAGTTTAGTTGCTAAATCGTATTATATTATTAGCAAAAACAAATTAAATTAAAATTATATGTCAAAGAATGAATGGCAATATTAAAACATGTGATTCTTTCTTAAATAAATCTCTTAAACATTAACCCATAACGAAAAAATAAAAGGTAGAGGCAATTCGATGATTATTTATGAGTACTACAATTAATACAATTGTAAAAAATTAAATATAATAACATTACATATATCATTTGCTTTTTGTTTGTTTGATTTAATTATAATATTTACCTCGTTCCATGGTCCCTCATGACAATTATCAAGGTGTCCTCTCTATATCGGTCATGGAATCTTGTAAGATACTCCGCAGTGTCTTCATTAGCTGTAGATATCATGTAGAAGCCATCATGGGATATGTCAACTATAAACGTGAACGCAAAACGTTTTCCATCCAGGCGGAGAAACTGAAAAGGAGACGAATGAAAAGATAAAACAGGAAAATAATATTTGACTTATGAAACTAAGCACCGTCAGAATAACTGAGTTATTGTATCAGATAAAATCTAAAACGTATAATTGTAGTATTTATTTCAATATTCTATATACTTGATTGAAAAATAATGATTGGTTCAATCAAAAATATGCCTTATTAAATAAAACTTAAAGAATAATTTCCTTTCACCTGATCAGTAATATCCAACATGAGTTTATACTCCGGAGTATCTCCCACGCAGTATTTGTTCAAGCTGCTCGTCCACCATTTCTTGCCACCGTTTGACTCCTCCATATAAAACGATAGCAAGTAATGATCCGCGGGTTGATTCTTGAAACCAGGGATGTTGCAGATGCCGATATTTTCACATCCGCGGATACGGATGCGGATGCGGAGTTTAGCAGGCTCACATCCGCGGATGCAGATGCGGATGCGGATGTATAAGATATTATGTAAATAAAGTCTATCCATGAAGAATTAAAACAATGACAACGTAATTATTAACATTTTCATTGTAATCAAACATAATTAAGTACTTATTTTTATGTTAAAAATATAAGTCATGTATAATGTAACTGAACACCTTCTGTTTTTTATATCAGTAGTTGAATTTAAAAACAGGAGCATTATACTTGATGAAGAGTAGTATTGCCGCCTTTTCTGGTTCTAGTCTGTTACGCAGAGGTTCGTAAATTAATCCCGCGCTACTAAATAGTTGTTCGCTGGGAACACTGCCCGGTGGAGCAGATAAAAATCTTCGTACTATCGGCGATAATACCTTGAATTCCCCTCGATGTACACTCCACCAGTTTAAAGGATTTTCACTCACATTTATTCTTTTTTAGTACGGTAAGCAAGTAACTCTTTTTTTAATACAGCTTCAACGCTACTATTTTCTGGCTCATCTTGACTTTCGTCTTCACTCGACGAATCTAACATCATAGCCAGGTCGTTTTTTAAGCATGGCTTTTTGTTGAAACCTGAAGTCCCTGGTCCTAGTTGTTCTGTTTCATTTTCCATGCAATCAGTTATTTTAGCCCTTTTGGCATTGGTATTAACTGATTCAAAATTGTCATTCTCAAATTATCATTTTTAAAATGTCATCTTTAATCTTTTCTTCAGTCACCGGTGTGAAAAATTTGTGCTTATAGCGAGGATCTAAGTAGGTAGCGATGGTAAATAAATTGTTTTCTCCCAAGCTAGAAAACTTTGTAGAAAGTTCGTTTTTCAAAGTCATTACAGCCTGACGAATCGGATCAAACTCTTGCGATCTTGTTAAATAGTCATCAACTTTTTTTTCAAGCATTTGTATTATCGGTATCACAGATGAAATAAGAGCAGAAGAGCTGCTCAGTTCCCGGGTTGCTTCCTCAAAAGGTCCCAGTAATTGAATGAAACTTTCAATCATTTTCCATTCTTCTGGTAGAACAGAGTCAATTTCATTATCATTCATGTAAAGGCTCAGAGCATCCTTTATCTTTGAAAAACGCTCGAACATGTAGAATGTACTGTTCCATCGTGTTACACAATCTTGAAACACTTTCAGGTGCGGTTGATTCAGTCTGTCCTGAATTGATTGCAGTTGTTTCTGGGCAATGGTAGAGTGATTGAAATGGGTCGAAATTCTCTTACATTTTTGTTTTAGTATTTTTATGTTTTCTTGAGAACCTAAACAACTACGGATAGCCAGTTGTTATCAAAACAAATAACCTGTATACAAAGTTATTAGTATACAAATGAGTTCTACAGTAGATTCCTTTATATATATTATTCTATATATAAAACTCGCCTCTATCTGGACACATTCTCGTATTTTGTGCTTTAATTCCACCTCAGAACTGTCTAGGTGTACAACGTTCTGCATGATGGGCATCTTATAGCCAGCGCCAGCACCGCACAGCCGACATGCCCGGTATATGTCGTATATTGTCTTCTCCTCCAGCGAAGAGTTCAGATATCCATCCATTTTAACATATCTTTATAATATCACGTTATCGCTACTTGTATAATATTCGCATCCGCATGAACATTCGCATTGATTAATGCGGATGCGGAAGCAGATGCAGATGTCCAAAACAATGCGGATGTTCCGCATTTGCGGATGCAGATGCGAATGTTCGCAACATCCCTGCTTGAAACCATTGAATCTCTACTGGAATGTTCCTATCCAGGGCATGTCTTCGAAGAATGCTGTTCGGTAACTAAAATCATACATATTATGCTTACATCAAACAGATCTTTAAGCATCAGTAAGTTTGTGATACATTTTGCTCGTTTGTAGCTAAAAATAATTTGCACAAGTCATTTGGAATAAAGGTATACATTAATTAATTGTCAAGAAACGAACTACAAAATAAAGAAGATTTAATGTATGATTAAGTAAATAATATCATTTTGAAAACCCAAAATGATTTAAATTTTTCTCAATAATATCTGTCTTAATTTTTCTTAGTATTAATGTTCATTTTTGAAGTGATAAAGTTCATTTTTAAGATAAAGATAAAAAGACTAGGACGTTAATTATATTACCCCAAAATGAAGTACACCCTATCCACCAAGTCTCACCCTTCATCCTTCAGCTTATACAATATGAAGGCATGTCGTCCAAGGTTCTGTTGTTCTTCATCTTCTTCCTCACGTCAGGCAGTTCCAACTCCGTCTTCCCCGTCAGGATCGGGAACAGGGCGGCGGGCGTCCCATCGCCTACTATGTTGTACCTGATATATATGATATTTTTGAAGTTTTCTAGTATTACTAAAACCATTGGGGTCGGTATTTACATTATAATTCCTCAAGAGAAACATAAAGTAACAAAATGGAAAGTTGTTTACCATTTTGGATTTTGTTTTTTTAAAAACTTTCTCATTAGAAAGATGCAGGTAACTTAAAAAAAACCGCAAAGAAAATTTGCCCTGTAATATGTCATTCAAACTAACATGTCGTTTGTTACATACCCATTCAAAATCGTAGCGCCCAATGTTTCCTTTAAAACTTTATAGCTCTTTGACATTTTTCGTATGAATCCGTTTTTGGAGGTGGAGTCGAATCCCAGGATGAGAACGTACAAGGAGTCACCTCTTCCTTTCGGAGGGAGTTTTGCAAGAACAGTGGAACAGAAGCCAAGAGAGTGGCCGATCCATTTGGGAGTATACTGGAAAATCATGAAAACATTAGAAATATTTTGTTCAGATTTCCATTAGTAACAATTATTCAAAATTGTTACGTGACGTCTATACCAGGGAAAATAATCAAGACTGTTAAAAAAATATGAATAGCAAGTAACATATCTGAAAAATTACTAATCAAAAAAATGTATATAACTTGACCACAGTGAAAGATCTCAAGAAACAGCAGTGATAGATTATAAAAACTAAGACTAATCGATAGTCTTTCTGTTATTTTGTGATTATTGAGGAGTATTTTTCACTGCACTTTCTATGGCCTTTAACACATAATCTCACCTGTCCCTATGTTTCCCTGAACACTTAATCTTTACATGATCGCTCTTAGTGAGGACATACTCGTTATCACCTCTGACCTCTGTGGGAGGACCGATTGTATATTTTTGATCACTCTCATATACATATTATGTCTTGGTATGAACATACTATGTTATCGGTGGTATTTAATATTTTAGGAACTACCCTACATTTAGAATGCTGAAAAAAAAAATATTAATACATACAATATTATATGTTATCTTTCGTGTTTAATATCAAAGTTTATTACAAAACCAGTATCCAAATCATGTTAACTCACATAACATTTAACCCAATCCATTCCCAAACACATAACCTTGGGTATGTCCTTATCAAACCGCGTCACTTCTTTAGAGAATGGATCCAACCGGGGTATCTCACACCCGGAGCCTTTGTCCTGTTTCCGAGATTGTTCTTATAGTCTTTCCATGGACCTGGATTAAAAATATAACACGATTTGTCTTCCTAAGTTAATAATTCAGACTATTTAATAATAAAACTAACTTTAATAATATAAGATTTTACCTCATATATGTAATTATCAAGGTTAATCAAGAATTAACCGTTATTTATAAAATTATGTAAAACGCTGTTCTGAAATTACAATTTCATTACGAATCCTTATGTATATTAAAAAAATTATAATTATACACTATAAATATAAAGTATATTGTAAACTAAAATAGAAATACGTCAAACTAGACAGTTCTTTCTCAATAACAGGTTGCCTGAAATATATGTAATTTATCATTGATCAACATTGTAGAAACAACGATTCAAATAATTTGTGGAAACAAAAAATCTAAGCCTTTATATTTGTGATGCTAAAGCTCTTGATGATAGAAAATACAATACGAACAGCATCATTATTAACTTATTTAATAGTATTAAAAATGAATGTTCTATAATATTAAAACTAACTACAAATTAGGACATTTATACAGTTGTTATTACAAATCCAATTGTTGTTTGTGGAATTAAAGTGTCTATGACGTAGTATCAGAATTTTGGTGATTTCCTTTAAATAAGTCGTAGTAAGTAGACAAGGAAACGAAATATATATTCAGGATAGCTATAATCGACAAATTCTGTCACAATAATTTTAAGGCTTTAATAACCCTTTAAGTAGTAGATATATCGCTGGCCTCTACTACTACCTCAAAACTTAATGAATGGGTCTTGTTAAAGGGTTAATATTTCCCAATAATCTAGCAATGATAATAATTTAAACAAAATGAAAGCACAAAACAAATTTTAAATCCGAACCTTCTTGTTACGTAAGTGCTACATATTAATATAATAAATAAACGTCGCTGGGGCAACATCGTTAATTAATAATTTACGATACTATCGGCAAAATTTAACACTATAATTTTATATTTTTACTAGCTTTCCGCCCGCAGCTTCGCCGCGTGGAGTTCGGTTATATCGCGTTTACAAGAGAACCTTTCAAAAGTCTGGGATAAAAACTATCCTATGTTCTTTCTCAAGGTCAACTCTATCTCTGTACCGAATTTCATTAAAATCAGTTCAGTGGTTTAGGCGTGAAAGCGTAGCAGACAGACAGACAGACAGACAGACAGACAGACAGACAGACAGACAGACAGACAGAGTTACTTTCGCATTTATAATATTAGTAGGGATTTTGTACTACTATTTCGATAAATAAAACAACGACAAAAATTTGGATATTCTTATTTTGTTCGCGACTTTCACCATATTCGTTTTTAGGCTATAAATTATTGCAAGGGATTTTGTATCTTGGAGAATATAACCACCGCCGCGGCGGGCTTAATTACTTTTACGATTTTACCTTACGTTACTTATCATAGCCAGAACTACGGTAACTACAGGTCTGACCCAACCCCCGTGTAGTGATCCTACCCATGTACGAGTAGGATATCTTAAAAGAACTTCTGTCAAGTTCTTTTAAGATATGAAATATTTTAAAGGTGCTTAGAATTATCGTACTCACTAAAATTACTTCAATAAAATCTCGCATTATATGTATATTTATTTTTTCTATCCAATACCAACGCGGATTTAATGAACATTGAAAACTTGACTTATATTAAAAATATATATTTATTTCTCCAATTTTTACTTTAATATAGAACAAATTAGTATACAATCTTGTATGTACGAGTATCTACTGCCTACTGGGTTAGTACTGGAAAACATTTATATTATACATACTCGTGTGAATTACTGCACCTGTATATGTTTTTTTTTCATTCAAATACACAAAATATAGCAAAATTTATTTAAATTAAATCTAATTCTTAAGATTTTTTATCGTTAATATAATCTATGACCAGTGGCGGCTGTACCTTAAGTGCACTCGTGCGCTGAACCACCATTCAAAAGTTTTAAAAAATTACAAAATATTACTTCATCTTTATTTTTAAATTACCATTTTATTATTTATTTTTTAAACATAAAAACGTATAAAGTTAAGTTTTCTAATTATGGTCAAAAAGTTTGTGCGCTTTACTAAACTAATATCTCGTGCGCTTCGGCGAGTGCACGAGGACTGCTAATACAACTTGTATGAGATACGCATTAATACGCCTGACGCGTGAAACAAAAGATAGTTCATAGAAATGTACCGAGTAATGAGTTGGTTCTCGAGCGCCGTACGAGCGGCCGAAGATTACCGAGAGCACCCGATGTATGACGAATAGAGCCGTTTTTGACATCTCGTTATGTTTTGTTGCATTTTCTAATTTTAATATTTTAGTAAACTGCACCACCAGTTTTATAACCCACCAGCCGCCACTGTCTATGACACATCGTTTTAAGATGTTTTATCGTAATAGTTATAATAGACTGTCGAAGCCTTAAACACTAAATAAATTTTGCAACCGAGAGCTGTTTCCAATGATTTTCTTTAACAGAAATATAGTTTTCCTTAGTAAAGTACGATCGATTATGCGATTTGTTATACTAAAATTTACCCTGTTGACTATTTTGTTAAAGAGAAGACACTTTCATCCGAAAACCAAAGTTTTAATTGTTCTTTGGAGTTGTTAACGGAAAACCCTCATTTAAAAAACAAACTTTACCAATATAATATTCCAACAACTATCCGTCTTAATCGAAACATTTGGGTTCTATGAGTGATTGTTTTAACAACCAACATTTTATACTACTATTCTAGGAAGAAGCGGCAATTTATTTTTATGGCATTAAAAAATTCACGAAAATACATACGTAAGTACAATTGGAATATTATTCGCAAATTTGGAGTACAAAAATGTCGATCTATTTACAATCATATCTCAATTTTCATATTAACAAGGTTTCCTCACTCTATGTATGGACGTGACCCGTTTGATATTTAAATTAATTTAATTTCTTTTTAGAATTTTCAGTTCAAATATAAATTATGTTTATTTTATTGTACATCTATGTACATCTATTGTACATATGACATTTTATATTATATCTCATAAGTATTTTAAGTTCCTAGATATTAATATAAATA